CAGCTTGTTTTTTCATAGCTAATTGTGCTTCTCTGTGCTTTCTGTTGTACAGTTGTTTTTGCAGATAATTATACATCTCTTTGTTCAGAAGTGTGAGTTGTGTAATGTTTTACACACATGGTTGACTGAATCTCAATCCCAGGCTGGTCTACTCAGAATCCTACTTGGGTCTTTTCAGTGGGTCTTACTCCCGGGAAAGTATTCTTAGGTTTATATTGAAAATGTAAAATACCTGTGTAAAAATGTACACCTTTGCAAGACGAATGTTGAATTTGCACTTTGGGAATCTCAGAGGCTAAACTAAAACTGCCTTGTCAGGCAGTCCAGAAGGCTGTGAAACAAGTTTTCCCTTTGTGTACCTTCCAGTTTATAAACGTAGTAGAATTTTGGGTTCATTCATTGATGGAACTATACAGAACACGATGCCCTTGCTCAAAGGCAAGGAAAGCTGACAGAAACCTAAGGAGAGGTTTTATGGACTACACAGAGAATTTTTGTCCTGTTGTGAGGAATCTGTTTGGAGCACATGGTGGGGTGAGAGTAGAGATCTCTGAGTTCTTTTGGGGGGGATTCAGGCCTCGGGGCAGAGGCCAAGAAGATGGCTGAGAGAGGTTAGAGACATTAAACAGAGCCTCAACAAGAAATCTGAAAACTCTGAAATTATTCTCCCTTCCTTCTCACCATCCTTCTGGGGGGGGGTGTTTGGATTTATACCCCGCCCTTCACGCGGAGTCTCAGAGCAGCTTACAAAAACTGGATTGGTGAACTCCTCATTGAGGTCTAGAAGCTTGAGACCTAGGCCACTGAGCAAATTCCATATTTCCCCATGGTAGAGTGAGGTGTTCACAGGGCCTGTTTTACCATAAGTCGGGCTGCCAACCTTCAGGTAGTAGCTGGAGATTTCCTGGGATTACAACTGATCTCCAGCTGACAGAGATCAGTTCCCCTGGTGAAAAAGGCTGCTTTGGAAGTTATTATACCCCACTGAAGGCCTTCCCCTCCCCAAACCCTGCCCTCTTCAGACTCCATACCCAAAATCTCCAGGAATTTCCCAACCTGGAGCTGGTAACTCTAAATAATGGTTTTTAAGCTAAGGTAAGCCAATCCAACCTAGCAGTTCGAAAGCAAGAAATTGCAAGTAGATAAATAAGTACCACTTCGGTGGGAAGGTAACAGCATTCCGTGCACCTTGGTGTCTAGTCATGCCGGCCACATGACCACGGAAATGTCTTCAGACAGCGCTGGCTCTTCGGCTTTGAAATGGAGATGAGCACCGCAACCCTAGAGTCGGATTCGACTGGCTTTCGAGCAAGGGAACCTTTACCTTTACCTTTAAGCCAATCACAAAGAGTTGGTTCCAGTGTAATATATTTTCTATCAGAAAAGAATACACTAAAGGAGGAATATCTCTTTCAAAAACACATGGAAAAATATGGTGGAAGAAAAAACAGTTCTGATGTTTTTCATATGCAGCCGCTTTGAGGCATGGGGGGAGGGAAGTAAACTATGACTTAAACAAGGTGGGTGTTGTGGAAATTAGAAATTAGTTTAAGGACTATGCCATTCTTAGTAGCATTTTCTACATTTGATCTTTCCTGCTGCTTAGTTGCTAAAAGAAAAAAATCACATTCTTGGTGTAGTCCCTCCCAAATTCTGGGGTCTGCTTTGCGATCTTCTGGTGGGGAAAGCTTGTTAAAAGATGATAAGAACAATTAATGAAGGGGAGTATTCCTTTTGTGTCATGCCTAGTTTTCAAGAGAGGTCAGTCAGATATGCCTTCAGGAAGTACTGGCGGGGGGGGGGGGGGCAGAGAATTGAGTCGAGCAAATGGGTTAGGGGGCACCATTACTGATGAGCATTCTGCTAACATGCCATTCTCATCCTCGCTCCCCTCAGCTGCAAAATGGAACCAGAGTTTTGTTTTGCTGAAGCTGGTTAGGAAGAAGAGCCCTTGCACCCCAAGTTCCTGCTTAACAGCAATTCAATCATGATGCCAGCACAGTTTGTCTTATCTTGATTCTTAGTGCACCGACTAAAATTATTCTCTGGCGTTGTCATGATAAAGGACTACTATATTCGCCCTTTATTCTCAGCCTTTTAAGGGACTTATGCATTCCTGTTTGACACCTGAGAGACATTTGATCAACTATTGGTGGTTATATTTTCAACTGGATGGCTTCCATATTTGCTTCTTCTTCCCTGTGTGGCAGAGGCCCAAGCAATCTGATGCCATATGGGCACCACACCCTGTGCCCACAGAAGACAGATAAGCATCCTACAGGTTTCAAACAAAGAGGCCTTTATACTATGATCCGAAATATTTCTTGCCCCCACCTTACCTCTTAACCGTGAGCCTGATGCAGAGTTCTGGAGAAACTTGCATGATGTGTGGTGGTGTTTTGATTGCTCTTAATATGGATTTTGGTTTTGAGAGATTCATTGCTTCCCAACAAGTACTTTTTGCTCTGCATTTGAATGCCTTGCTGTATGCTGGAGCTACTGAATTCTTGAAATTTGCAAGTGAGCCCTCTTAAGATTTATTTTTCCCTCCTGTAAATCTTTTACAAGGTAAAAGATAAAGCCTGCATGCTCAAGGAAGTAAAGCTTAATATTGCAGCATTTGCATCCTGTCTCTCTCCCAGGGAACTTGGGAGTGGTTGAGGTTAACCTGAAAGTAAACATGCTGCTTCCCCCTTTTTAAGTGCTCTGAGTAATCTGCCTGCAGGCTTCGTAAAAGCCCAGCTTCAGAGAAAGAGAGAGACTGTGGGATTCCCTCCTGTGCATGTTAAATGCAGTAGCCATTTTGGGCTGTCTGCTGTTGCATCAGCAGGATCCTGGGTTTTAATCATCGGCTAACTTGAATAGATTTTCTAGATTTGATGTCTGCATGCTGTAGGGGGCAGGAGCCAACACACTTGTACACTCTTCAACATCTTCGTTGTATCACCCCCCTGAGGATTTTAGAGCATCAGTTTGGCAATAAAACCAATAAAGATTTGGGGGAGGGAAGCCTAGAACAGGTTAGGGGTCTCTACAATCTGGCTGTTTTATAACCATGGTTTTGACATCATTTTCCCCTCTAAAAAGTCATTCTCTAAACTTGACAGAATTCAGTACCTGTGCTACCAGAGGACATCGGTATTCCCTTCTAGTGGAATAAAAGGCCCAGATGCGTGTCAGCATAGCATCCCATCGGTGTGTTGTTCAAATGGAGTTCCGCCCCCAGCCACTTCTAAAGCAGCCACCTCTAAAGCAGGAGCACAATTTAAAGCAGTAAAGGGGCATTCTCTGTGACCCATCACCTCCCCCTCCTTTTAGTCATCATGGCTAGTAGTCACTGATGGGCCTCTGCTTCATGCATCTGTCTAACCCCTTTATAAAGCCATCTATTCTCATGGCCATCACTACATCCACTGGCTGTGGCTCCACAATTTAATTACTTGACAAGTAAAGAAGTGTGCCTTTTCATTTGTCCTAAATCAGTTGCCCTACTATTATGGGCTGTGTAGAAAAAGGCACTCTCTATCCAGTTCTCTCCACCCCAGGAATACTTTTTCAGCCTCTGTTGTGTTCAGTGTTCCCTCTAAGCTGAGTTAGTGTGAGTGAGCTCACAGTTTTTTAGCTTCTGGCTCACACATTTTTGTCTTAGCTCAGGAAGGGATGGCTCCAGAGCAAACCGATTTATGCAGCGGCCAAATCGCTCACTCACAACTTTAATGCCAGTAGCTCACAAAGTAGAATTTTGGCTCACGAGACTCCACAGCTTAGAGGGAGCATTGATTGTGTCCCCCCCCCCGTCCTTGCCTTTTCTGAATTGAAAATCCCCAGACTATCCAGCCTTTCCTCACATGAGGAAGTTCCAGCCCCTTAAGCATCTTGATTGCCCTCTTCTGTATGCCTTCCGACTTCACAATGAGACACAAGATTTTAAATAAGGTAACCAGAACTTCTCACAGTACTTCACATGAGGTCTCACCATAGGTCTGTACAGGAGCATTACAGTATTGACCATTTTATTTTCAATTCCTTTCTTAATAATCCCTAGCAAAAAGGTTTCCTTTTTCACCACTTTTGCACGCCGAGTTGACATTTTCATCCAGCTGTTTTCATCATGTATATCTGTGTGCAGATTCCTTAATGCACCAGATGTTGTGTGACATATAGGGATAGGACACTGCTCCATAGCAGACCTCATGCTTTGTACGCATAGGGCCCAAAGTTCCATCCTGACACCGCTAAGTAAAAGATTGCAAGCAGGGCTCTTTTTGTAGAAAAAGCCCAGCAGGAACTCATTAGCATAATAGGCCACACCCAACAGCAGAAACTCATTAGCATATTGGGCCACACCCCTGACAGCACAGCTCATTAGCACATTAGGCCACACCCCCATGTTACCAGAAGTGTGGTAATCCAGCCACACCCACCCTTTGCTTCTTATTCTATTTACCTTGTTTGTTGTCAAAACCCAGGGCTTTTTTTGGAGCAGGAACTCCTTTGCATGTTAGGCCACACACCCCTAATGCAGCCAATCCTAATGAGTTTCTGCTGTTGGGTGTGGCCTATTATGCTAATGAGTTCCTGATGGGCGTGGCCAAACAGGGAGCCAGCCGGAACTCCGTTCCTGTGCGTTCCTGCCCCAAAATAGCCCTGATTGCAAGTAACAGTAGGGGTATTTCTTGGGAGTACCACTACCAGTCAAAGGGGAGAGTACCAGTGTTGGTGAAGTAATAGTTTGATAGGTAGGCTAGGTTTATATTTCCTAACCTACTTCACAGGATTGTTATAAAGATAAAATGGAGGAGAGGAGAACAATGTAAGCCACTTTGTGTCCTTGTTGGGGTGAAAGGTGAGATATTAAGGAAACGGATAACTTTAAAAGATCGATCCCCCATATTTTGCATTAGGAATTGAATTCCTCAGTTTCCACCTTCAAAACAAGTCTCTTTTGATCTTTCATGGAATAAATTTCATTTTTCCTGTCTTTTATGTGATTTTTCCAGCTTGACCTTACCAGACCAATAGAAGATCAGGGCCCACTAGATGTGATCATACACAAACTGACGGATGTCATCATTGAAGCTGACCAAAATGACAGCCAGTCATTGGAGTTGGTGCACAGATTCCAGGTAAGTAACAGTTGGGGTGTGCGTTTGCGGGTGGGGGTGCTTCAATTATGATTTATAGCAGAGGCACAGAAAACAAGATATTAGTGACTACTGCTTGCTTGCCCCTAATTATGGAGAAACTAATTTGATGCCATGTCTGTAAAGCATTCATGTCATGCACAAAAATTCCTTCACTTGCAGTAACGATTTAATCTCATGGCCTTTTAGTCTTGCCATTCCTCAGGTCCAGATGGGGGATCCCCCACTTTTGCGGTCTCCTGCTCGCGGTGGACCAGCTAGCCGATGGGAGGAAATTCCCCCCACCCCACAAACTGTCATTCTGCATGACGCACTGACGTCACCCAGAAGTGAAGTCAGTGACATTGGAGGGGGGTGATGCTCTGCTTTTTGGGCAAAACTCTATGGTTTGAGGTCACTTTTACCATAGAATTTTGCCCAAAAAGCAGAGCGTCATCAACGACATGCTGACATCACTTCCGGGTGATGTCAGCATTGTGAAACGCCCCTCCCACTCCCGGAATACCCCACCAAAGCCCCCCCACCAGCGAGCTGGAGCAACCTGGCAACCCTACAGCCTTCTGCAATAAATGGATTAACCTG